TTCTCTTGAGTTTTTGAAGTAAAGAACTGTGTCCTCTGCAAAGAGGGATAACTTGACTTCCTCTTTTCCTATTTGGATACCACTGATCTCCTTCTCTTGTCTGATGGCTCTAGCTAGGACTTCCAAAACTATGTTGAAAAGAAGGGGTGAGAGTGGCTATCCTGTCTTATTCTGGTTTTCAGGGAAATGGTTCCAATTTCTGTCTGTTTAGCAGTATGTTGGCTATGGAATTCTCATAGATGGCTCTTACTATTTTGAGGTATGTTCCATCTATGCCTAAATGTTCGAGAGTTTTTACCAAGAAGGGGTGCTGGATTTTATCAAAAGATTTTTTTCTGCATCTAATGATAAAACCATGTGGATTTGTTTTTACAGCTGTTGATATAATTATGTTTATGGTCTTGTGAATGTTAAACCAGCCCTGCATCCTGGGGATGAAGCCTATTTGATTGTGGTGGATGATTTTTGAGATGTGTTGTTGGTTCCTGTTTGCTAGGATCTCATTGAGAATATTAACATCTCTGTTCATCAAGGATATTGGCCTGTAGTTCTCTTTCTTTGTTGGATCTTTCCTGGTTTGGGTATCAAGGTGATGTTAGCTACATAAAATACTTTGGGGAGAGTTCCATCTTTCTCAATTGCCTGGAATTCTTTCAGTAGGATTGGTATCAGTTCCTCCTTGTATGTTTTGTAGAATTCTGCTGGAAGACTATCTGGCCCAGGACGTTTTTTTGTTGTAGGTAGTTTTCTTATGACATAAGGACTGTTTTTCTTCAAGGAAGAGGATAAATGATTATTTCTCTTATAAGTGTCTTCTCAAAAGTTAAGAATCTGTATCTGTCTCCCTCAGTAGCACAGTGTGGATATTTATTTATTCACTAGCTCAATATGTTTTACTTTTTTTTTTTTTTTTTGAGTTGGAGTCTCACTCTGTCGCCCAGACTGGAGTGCAGTGGCCACTCCCGGCCACTGCGGCCTCGACCTGCCAGGCTCCGGCAATCCTTCCGCCTCAGCCTTCCAAGTAGCCAGAATTACAGGCATGCGCTACCACGCCTGGCTGATTTTTTGATTTATTGTAGAGATGAGGTCTTGCTGCCTGGGAAGGTCTCGAACCCGCGGGCTCAGGCAATTCACTCACCTCAGCCTCCCAAAGGCACGGGATTACAGGTTGAGCCACCGAGCCCGGCTATGTTTTACTTTTTATCTTACTTTTTAGCTGGAGTCTCACTCTGTCACCCAGGCTGGATGACAGTGGCAGGATCATGGTGCACCACAGCCTCAACCTCCTGGGCTCAGGTGATCCTTCTGCCTCAGCCTCCAAATAGCTGGGACTACATTTGTGCACCACCATGCCCAGCTATTTTTTTCTTTTCCCTTTTTTTTTTGTACAGATAAGGTCTCACTATGCTGCCTGGTCTGGTCTCAAATTCCTGGGCTTAAGAAATCCTTTCAAAGCTGGGCTCGGTGGCTCAGCCCGTAATCCCAGCACTTTGGAAAGCCAAGGTGAGTGGATGGTCTGAGCCCGCGGGTTTGAGACCTGCCTGGGCAACTTGACAAGACCTCATCTCTACAACAAATCAAAAATGAGCCAGGGCGTGGTAGCGCGCGCCTGTAGTTCCAGCTACTCGGAAGGCTGAGGCGGAAGGATCGCCGGAGCCCAGCAGGTCGAGGCTGCGGTGGCTGGGAGCGGCCACTGCACTCCAGTCTGGGCGACAGTGAGACTCCAACTCAAAAAAAAAAAGAAAAAGAAAACATTGTGTCACAGTTTAATTGGCAGTCTTTTTTCTTTCTTTCTTAGGAATATATAAAGTAACAATATACCTTATAAATGATGTTTTATGCTCAACAAAATATTAAATATTGGAGACCCCAAACCTATTTCTTGTCAGGAAATTATAAGTAAACAATTTTTTTTTTTTTTTTGAGTCAGAGTCTACAGGCTGGAACTGTAGGCGCGGGCTACCACGCCCGGCTAATTTTTTGATTTATTGTAGAGATGAAGTCTTGCCAAGTTGCCCAGGCAGGTCTCGAACCCGTGGTCTCAGGGAATCCACTCACCTCGGCCTCCCAAAGGTGCAGGATTAGAGACTGAGCCACCGAGCCTGGCCGAGTAAACAATTTTTAAAGTCAAACAGGATAAAGTATTTCATTGAATTTAAAGAACAAATTAAAGAAAAACTTTCAACATAGAAAAGACTAACCTTGATCATCTCTGCCTCAATCTGTTGATGAACACCTATATAACTTTTCTTCACCTGCTGCTTGTCCTTGATCATCATGGTGAGCCTGTGTAAGGGTCCAGAGTTTAAGTCCTCTGCATGTGTCTTCATTATTTTACTAAGCTGTTCCGTCTGCTGAATCATAAGTAGCCAAGACTTGAAAAGAAAAGAAAAGAAAACCTTAGCATTTGTATTAGAAGTTCCATTT